TCTCAGACGAGAGGGGTGGCGACAAGAGTGTCACGTTACTTCTCTCGCGGCATAGTTCACGGCATGGTAGGCGACGATCGACACGATTGTCTGCTCAGTGAGTTCGTTCATTGGCACAAATCACACCTCATACGAATCACACCTCATAGTCTAGAGTGGCCGTGAGCGCCGCGGCGCAGCTGTAACGCGACGCAGACGGACCCGGTGGAACTCTGAATACATCTCCTCGCGACTTGTCCACTGTCAACCAAAAGCGTGAGGGGGGCGGGTTCGGGGAGAAGCCGTGCCGTGAGTGGCTCTGTCCATTGTGATGCCGTGACGTGATTGGCTCCGTCCATTGTGAACTCGCGTGGTGATTGGTTTAGGTCCAATCTTCACAATGGACAGCGAGTATCATGATTGGGTGATAGATTGGAGTTAGAGCCACGCTGAATCTCACTGAAAACACTACACCATATTTATTCCTGTATTTATTAATTTATTTATTCATGTTTTTATTCCTACATTTATTTATGCTTGTATCTATACTTATGACATGTTCCGACCTCTAAGTGAGGGTCTGAGCTCTTTTAATTCCATCGTGTCACCAGCGGGCCCGGGAACAGGAGGGGTAATATGGTTCTTATTATACATCCATGGGTATAATGAGCGTTGTGGTTCAACGGTTCAACGGTTCAACCGATCTGAATCGCTTCCTGAAGCAGTCACGTGGTATCGACAGGCAGCGTGGCTTCGTTTGTCATCGATGACGTCACTGGCCCAAACCGATACAAGCCTCGATACATGCTTCACAAAAAGCTTCGGGGATTACTCGACACACGCTCCAAAGCCTCGGCGCAATACGTAACATCCAGTGGCGACTGGTCATTAGGGGCAGGTGGGGCACAGCCCCACCTAGTGTCAGCAGAAAGTATTACACATAATGATTACAAAAAATGCAAAGAGATGCAAAAAAAGAAATAAAAAAAAATATAAAATATATTTAAGGTCATGTTTAATCATCTGATTCGTCTGTACATTGCTGTTTTAGTCTGTGTTCTTCTAATTAGTGTCTACAGTGCCGTTTTGAGCCATGTGGGACAAAACCTGATTCTGCCCCTCCCTCTCACTGTTTAAGTGAACGGTGACTGTAAAAACTTCACTGCGCATGCTCAGAGTATTTTTCAATGTAATGTGTGTGGCAAAAAAAAAAAGGCCAAAGGGGCACAGAGGTGCCATCCCCACCATACGTCAGCTCACATTATTCAGAACTGATTGGCTGTAAATATGTCACGTGTGCAGTGCTGCGAAACGTCACGTGTAGTGTGAAGAGAAGACGAGAGAGCAGCAAATAGCTAACATCACCAGCGATTAAAAAGAAGTAAAAAACTGAAAGAAAATGAATGAAGTTGACCATTTACTGGAGCACACATTTGAGACACTTAGTCTCGGAGAGAAACTGGAGGTAAAGCGCCTCGGTGCCCACCATCCACCGGATTTCCAAATGGTCCAGACTGCGGGCAAAGTGAACCGCGGGTTTAATGCTGAGTGGTTTGCTAAAAAGAAATGGCTAACGGCGAGCATCCAGAAGAATTCCCTCTTTTGCTTTCCTTGCCTGCTTTTTGGTGAAGATCAAGGTACTTGGTCGAGGACAGGTTACAAGGACTTAAAGCATCTTTCGGAGAGGACAATGAAGCATGAGAGCAGCAACAGTCACTTGGAAAATGCCGTAAAATTGGGATTACTGGGAAGGGTGAATGTTGCAGCTCAGATTGACAGCGCCTACAGACGCGGCATTGATGATCATAATAGAAAGGTGGAAGAAAACAGGTACGTGTTGGGTCGGATCATCACCTGTATTAAACTGTGTGGGAAATGTGAGACAGCACTGCGGGGCCACGACGAGTCGGCGGACTCTCTGAATCCAGGGATATTCAGGTCAATTTTCGAGACAATGTGTGAGGGCGATTCCAGGCTTCGACGGCACTACGAAGCTCAGCCCGTTTTCAAAGGGACATCAAGCACCATACAGAATGAACTCTTGGACTGCATGTATGATGTGTACAGGGAGGAAATATCCAAGCAAGTGGACAACACATCATTTGTTGCCGTTCAGGCCGACGAGACAACCGATGTCTCATGTAAATCGCAAATGGTGATTGTGCTGCGATACATTATGCCTGACCTCACAGTTACAGAGCGTTTTTTGGAGTTTGTGGAAGTAAAGGACAAAACTGGTGTAGGTCTCTCTAACAGCATCAAGGCTGTTCTTGAACCCCTGAAGCTGAAAGAAAAGCTAATCGCTCAGACCTATGACGGGGCGGCCGTCATGAGCGGTAACGTGCGCGGGGTACAGACGGTCATGAAGGAGACGTACCCAAACGCTCAGTTTGTTCACTGCTATGCCCACCAACTGAACCTGACCCTGCAGCAACTGTGTTCAGCAAGGATGAGCATCCTGAAGGTGTTTTTTGCAGATCTAACTGCTTTTTCCACTTTTTTCTCCGGTGCTCCAAAACGTGTTGCAGCTCTTGCAGAGGCAACACAGAGACGCATACCACGGCCACCGGCTGTGAGATGGAACTTTAAAAGCAGAACTGTGAACGCGGTTTGGGAGACCCGAGAAGCACTTCTTCAGTGTATGGACCATATACGCACACAACCAGGATGGGATGCGGTCACCATAAGTGAGGCATACGGCCTGTCAAAGAAACTGCGGGACCGAGCATTTATGCAGCTCCTGGAGTTTTTTTCGTTGCTTATGCCAGAAGTGGATGTTTTATACAACACTCTGCAAAAACGAACCATCGATGCACCTGGGATCAACAGCGCGCTCTGCCGCTTCAAGGAAAATGTCCAGAAAATGAGGCAGCAAACTGATGCATTGGCCGCCACCACTCATGATGGAACAGACGAGCCAGGCCGACGAGTCAGCAGCACAGCGCCGGTAATGAAGGAGGCATGTGACACAGCATCTCACAGGTGAAACAGAGGTTCTCACAGAGTGACCATTTGATCGCTGCAAAGCTCGTTGACAGCTCACTCTTCCCACAGCATGTCCTGTCATTTCCTACACCTGAGCTTGACTGCGCAGTGAAATTGTGGCCTGCTTTGGGAAACAAGGAGAAGTTGAAGTCTGAGCTGACCACGCTCTACCGCCACAGTGAACTTCACACTGGAAACACTGCCCTGTCTCTGTTGAAATCCATTCACGAGAACAACTCGGAGGATACGTTTGCTGAGACTGTTATTTTGGTCAAAATAATAGTAACAACTCCGATGACGACATCCGAGTCAGAGAGGAACTTTTCCACCCTCAAAAGGATAAAGACTTTCACTCGCAACACCATGGGACAGCTGCGACTTAACGCATTGGCCATGCTTTCAATTGAAAGCCAGTTGATCCAGCAACTACAGGACTTCATCCCCAAAGTGATAGAAACATTCTGTCAGAGGAAGGACCGCCGTGCCGCTTTTCTTTTCAAGTGAGCCTTCAGCTTTGGTAAGTTCATTTATGTCATATATTTTGTTGATCTTCTGTGTTTTGCCTCTGCTGGATTGATTGATATTGTGACCTCGGTGATGAGTGTCTGCGTTTTCCTTATATTTACAGTCTATGGTGTTTTAATGCTAAAGCATTATGGTTGTTGTTGTTGTTGTTAAGAATTGCTTTGTGATGGTGCTATTTACTTATGTATTAAGGTGCATTACAATATGACATCCCCACGCTGTGTACCGTACATTTACGTACTGAAGTAAAAAGATATGATTCTACACTGTATTGAAGTAAACATGTATTATTTTGAATTGTATTTTAGTGAACATGTATTGTTTGAACTGTTTTAGGTAATCACAAACGGGTTTTGATAATCACTTAGAATAGGAATGTTATTCTCACTTTTAAACTCACTGACCCAGAGATTCTGCTTCACCCACACACATTGGCCTTTTCACCCCTAAAAACAGATGTTGGTTTTAAAGTAGTTAAAGACCTCATTAAATGTATGCAGAGGGGTTTGGATGTCTGAGGGGGGATGGTTTATGTGAAGAGCTCTCAGGGGAAGGGGATGGAGTTAAGATCGAGGCAGAGATAAAGATTGACTTTTGACCTTATGGAACTTAGGATCTCACGTTCTGGTCAGAACTCTGATTGAACCCGACCAGATGTGAATCCAACCAGTAAGAACACTTGGGGGAGGTGAGCACAGCTCCTCCCCAGGGGCTCTCTAATTCGCTGTCGAATAAAAGGGGGAGGGAACAAGTCAACACATCTCCGCCCCAAAATAGGGATATGTATACTGTTGTTTTTGAGTGTAAAATGCTTCTGTATGTGAGTGGCTGGTCCTGACATCTGTGTCCGCATCGCATCACAAGCCAGAAGGCCGGAGTACTCTGTATAACTTGTATGTGAGTGGCTGGTCCTGACATCTGTGTCCGCATCGCATCACAAACCTGAAGTCCGGAGTACTCTGTATAACTTGTATATGTGTTTGGTTTCCTACCAGTAAACTCAGATAATTGTTATAGAAACTTTGATTCCGGTGTTTTCATTCCTTCTTATTTATAGAGATTTCAGCCTCATCCCAACGAACGGCGCGTAGCAAGGGTGTTCTGCTCCAACAGGACCAACAAGTGTAGCGTAAATGTATGCGCTGACAGTGTTGCTGCCCGCGTGGTCTTCAGTATGTAATTTGAACACTCCCCCCTCTCCCCCCCTCTCTCTCTCTCTCCCCCATCTCTCTATCTGGCCCCCCCACACTCGTCTCTCTGCCTCCCCCCCACCGTCTCTCTCTCTGTCCCCCACCATCTCTCTGTCCCCCCCCCCTCTCTCTCTCCCCCCCACCCGTCTCTCTGTCCCCCCTCTCTCTCTCCTATCCCCTCTCTCTCTCTGGCGCTCTGCTCTCCTCCGCCCTCTCTCTGGTCTCCCCCCCCGCTCTCTCTCGCTCTCTCTCATCCCCCACATCTTCTCTCTGCCCCCCAGTTTTGTACACATAGAAACGCCACTGGTAACATCACTAGTTTTAATTTAAAAATGATTTCAGAAACACATTTGATTAATGCCTGACTCCCTGTAATCCGTGTGTTTTCTATACAACCAACCTCCAACTGACGTGTCACATTTCCTTGTTATGTTTTGAGTCATGTTAAGTTTCACTTTCACTTTGGCAAATAACTGCTGCGCACTAAAGGTAAACTGAACTGCGGATTAAACCCTCGACATATACACGTATATCATACAATACAATACTTTGATTTAGTCTCACTACATATTAAATATGTATATATGTAATACTACTCATGCTGTAACGTTACCTCGAATGCTATCTAGTTTATAAATGTATTTAACCGTGCATGCTAGCTAGGACTCAGTTAGCTTAGCACAAACTTCCTCATTGTTCTAGAACACTTTTTTTTACCGGCTTTATAAACCGTTAATGTGACGGTTGGTCGCAATGTTTTTGTGTTGCTGTACATTGTTACCACAACCGAAGCTGAATTAAAGTTAGTACTGTTATTATAAAAGTTGTTGTTTATCTTTGTCGGACATTTTGTTTTATAAGGAGATTTTACGCAATGTGTTATTTCCGATTACAGGAAACTCTTCAAGGATTATTTAAAAATATTAAGAAATACACAAATGTGCTGTAATTCAGGAGAAGGAGAGGGGAGGAAGAGAAGGAGGAGGAGGAAGAGGAGGAGGAGAGGAAGAGAGGAGGAGGAGAGGGGAGTGTCACCATAGATATATATAAACACTTATATCTATGAGTGTCACTACCCGATCTGTCCCCCTGCCTGATCTGTACTGCCATGTGTGAGATGGTCCGCCATATTGGACAACTACATACGGCAACTCTAATAGGACACTTGACACAGTGGCTTTTGGCAAAGCAGAAAAAGAACCGAGAGAGATTATTGTTATTACAACGTGACTTCACTATTATTTAACTCTTTTTATTGGGTTCTTTTATTTGGGGTTAAGTACATTGTCAGAATAAGTGAGAAATTGATTTAACTTCTGTTAGACAGCTATATGCCATACATTTTTGCATACATTCACAGTAAATATTTATTCAGTATGATAGCTGTCTAACATAAGTTAAATCCATGTCTCACTTATTCTGACAATGTACTTAACCCCAAATAAAAGAACCCAATAAAAAGAGTTGTTAAATAATAGTGAAGTCACATTGTTATAACAATAATCTCTCCCGGTTCTTTTTCTGCTTTGCCAAAAGCCACTGTGTCAAGTGTCCTAGTAGAGTTGCCGTATGTAGTTGTCCAATATGGCGGACCATCTCGCACATGGCAGTACAGATCGGGCAGGGGGAGAGATCGGGTAGTGACAGGGAGGAAGGAGGGGAAGAGGAGAGGAGACCATTTTAAAGCATTTAACTTTCATTTTCTGCTACTTCATAGGTCTACTGCCCTACATTTTAGGGGGAATTAATGAACATTTAATCCACTTTACTCCTTTAATTATATCACGATTAATCAACAAAAAATACATTATGATAACAAATGTAAATGAATAAAAAACAGTATGAATGAGCTGAAATTAGATGTATTTCTAACCGCTACTAGCCTATATTAAAAATGATTAACACATTAATGTGTCATTAAAGGTGGGGTAGGTAAATTTGAGAAACCGGCTCGAGATACACTTGTTGTTATATTCCATGGAATGCTCTTAACATCCCGATAGCAATGAATATCTTAAGTGCTTTGACAAAAAATCCATAAAAAATTTCATCTGTGGAAGCCGTAATACTGTAAAAAGCACGGCCAATCATTTTAGCCGGCCCGGCTAAAATAACTGGATGGCCTACCTGCCTGTCAGCCTTCCATCTGTGCACAAACTTATCTCGTGCCCTCATTGGTCATGTGCGCGTTCGTGTGTGTTGGAGGAGGGGCTCTGGTTAACACATTAATGTGTCTTTAAGTATAATCAAATTGTGAAATACACAGTGGCCGTGTCTCAATTCAGGGGCTGCACCCTTCGGGTAGGCTGGACCGAGCGGCCTACGAAATGAGACGGTCTAGCCTACGGAGCGCTTCGTATTTACGTCACGTGATACCCGCTGTTCGGTTGCGTTGCTCCAGCAGCCTCCTAGCATATTAGCTTACAAGCTAACTCAGCTGAAAAGGATCCAGAAACTTTACTTTTACTTTTACATTTTTTGGAGATCACCGTCGGCGATGAAATAAAGAGGACCATGGCCAGGTAAATAAGATGAAGTTGTTCCTTTAGCCCGCAGTAATGTTACATTAGTAAGTTAACAAGTCAATTATATATAGCTGATGTAATTTAATCATATTATTTCATATTTAAAGTGGACCTATCATGCTACATGTATATTTGAACAATATATTGTAGGGCCAAACCTATATAAAGTATATAAATATAGTTTTTTTTTCAAAATACCAAACAGATCATGCATTTTAGCCATGCCTCATTTCGCTCTATTTGCTCTTTCCAGCCCTGTTTTTGCAGGGGGCTGATTCTGTGAGCTGCAGCTGACCACGCCCCCCTGCAGGAGAGGGGAGCGTGCTCTGAACAGCTGTTGGGTCAGAAGAGGGGGAGAAAAGAGATCTCCGTCCTCCGTGTTATATTCTTATATGATTATATAGAGTCGTTATTCATTTGTTTTAAAGCTCAATAAATAACAAAGAAGACCTTTGACCGGCACTTTTCTAATTTTGTCCGGAAGATTTCAACTTTAACGGACATGTTGACGGCGAAAAAAAACCTAACTGAAACTCTGCCGCACGGTCCCCTCGTTCCTTGGAAGAGGCGGAGAGGTGGGTGTTTGTCATCTGCTGGTGGACTAACCGGAGAGAATTACAGTGCTTGCCTCGACGGGGAGGGGATTGCATTGAATTAAAGCAGCGGGAGCAAACGCTTGCCTCGGGGAGGGAGAAAGAAAGCCACAGTGGAGAATAAACAGAAGGGTAACCATGGTAACCATGCGCGGGAAGTCTTCTTCGCTGCTTTTGTGGCAGACTACAGCGCCACTTACAGGCCTGGCATATGTACTACAGCATCTCCAGCGCTTTCGAGCGGCAATGACCGGCCGTGGCCCAACCCCACATTCCCCTGATAGGTGGAGAGTTGGCCCAATAGCCGTAGCGCCACCGTCCTGACGTCAGGACAGTGTTCAATTCTGGATCAGTTTTTATCAGATCCGTTGCAGCCCCGCTTTTAGAGATTTGGGTATGGAGGAAAATAGACAGGGTTGTGTTTTCTGACACTTGGTGAGTTCCCTGGAACACCGGGGACACATATTCATGTATAAAAGACGTACAAAAGTGCATTTTGCATGATAGGTCCCCTTTCAAATAAGTCTTAATTTTTCTGTACTAATAAAACAATATGTTTTTTAAATGAACAAAAGCATGTTGTATAGATTGATTCTAAACAATATTAGTGTTCTAATCTTAATAGCTGTGATTATAACAGTTTATATTCTCCTTCTTCCCCTAAACCTGCCCAGATGATGTCCCACTGACCCCAGGTCAGCACCTCCAGGTCCAGCAGCACCGTGACCCCCCGCTCTGCTGAAATACACTATTAAACATTTTCTATGACCTATTTTTTGTATTAATAAAATTAAACTGAAGACAGTTTAATGACCTAGAGATATCCTATTATTCCACTGCTTATGTACACATGTTGGAAATAATGGTTACAACCTCAGTAAATGAAATAAACAATGTGTTTAACAATTACAATGTAATATTGTATTTTCATCTAATCACAAAGTAGAGGTAAGAATATATCCATCCTCTCTCTGCAACTTCATGTCTTCTATTATTATAACTTTCATCATTGAGACAGAGGAAACCAATCATGCTATTTAACATCATCAGATTCAGCAGTAAAACAAATATCAGCAAAAGTGTGTTTTATCAAGTTGTTTATTTGTATTATATGTGCAGCAAGTAAATAGAAGCAGCTGTTTGGGGAATCAGACAGACTCAAGCTATAATCGTTACATATCTATTAAAAGAAAGTACACATACAAAATCATATTCTGAAACTAAGACACAAGTCTTAGGACGGCAGTAAGCAGAGGTCTGGGTGGAGGATGTTCCTGATCGCGTTTTGCTTTCTCCAGCACCTCGGGGGGTCCAGGTGGATGGCAGCTCTGTCCTGATGATCCGCTGTGCACTTTTCAGATTAGGGGTCCTTCTCCAGCAGATCCATTTCTCCAGAATGATCCTATTCACAGAGAAAAACAAGACAAAAAGAAAAAAGTGAATTAATCATAGTAAAGGGTTGCAGAAGTATTATTGCAAAATTGAACTCTAAGCATTTCAGACAAACAATCCCTAAAGGATCATTTAAAATTATGTACTGTACTGGTTTTTAAAAAACTAAAGAGATGAAATGACAGTCACACGTGCATCCCTTTGACAGCACGGCACAAACTAACATCAAGCAAAAGGCTGCTGTCTATTTGTGATTGTCTTATTATTATGGGATTAGGATAAATTAAATAAACTTTAACCTTATAAAAGATGATCAAATCTGGTGGAAATATTTAATTTTAATAGAATAGGCTTTTCTTTTAGCCCTACCTCAAAGCAGCATGAGCTGAACACAAAGGTTGTAATGTTGTCCCAAAGTTTAATAAACAGTCAAACATTGCAACATGTCAGAGAAATAAATAAAGCTAACAGCAGCTACACGTCAGGGTAGCATTTTATAAATCCCACCGTACTGTAGGCTATACCGGTCTAAATGTTTTCACTTTGGTCTATTTATGTAATATAAAGTATAACTTATCTATAAACAGAGCCAAGATCTCTGTATGACTTTAGTAAACTTCTGAATTGAATTAAAAATAAGTGTAAACAGTGCAATACGTCCAGCTAGCTAATTAGCGTCACATATTTATCCGTATTATTTAACGAAAATGTACGTTTTAATGCCCCTTGGGTTTGACGTGTGTGACGTTAGTTAATTGAAAGTAAGTTAAAACCTGCAGGTCACCCTTGAAAAAGAGATCTTTTGATCTCAAGGGGCTTTCACCTGTTAAATAAAAGCTACAAACAAACAACAAACCTAATACTCACATTTATAGTGATTCCTTCGGCTTGCTGCTGCTTTTAAATCACTCTGCTGGGGAGACCGGAAGCCATTTAATTTGAAAAAAAACTCACTCTTCCCTGCGCGCATTGCACCCTGGGATATGGTAGGCCGCGGAGTGTACATCAGATGGTATCCTTCAAATTGGGGAAGAAGTAGGCTGCATTCGGAGGAGTCTCGTCTTTAAAAAAACATTGGGGACAGACCTTCTTTCGGCGGAAGTGACGTATGCGGTCTACGAATGCACCCTTCGAGGATGCAACCCCTGAATTGAGACACGACCATAGTTTCTGAAATGAAATCATTCTACATAATGAGTATTTAACAGAGTAACAATATATATTTTAATGCAGTACTCTACTTGCATTTTGTATTCCAGTTCTTTACTTTTAACAAAGAAAGGGGGAAGAATTGTAGGAATAAAATAACTTCTGTCATTATTTCTTCTCCTCTTACAGGCTGCTCCTCTCGGTCGGTGTTCGTACATCTATCATCTTCTCCAGGTATTCACTTCTCCTGATTGTTATCAGGGAAACCTGAATGAGTTGTTTTTCTACTTTATTAAACAGGAATACTTTTACATTCAGTTTAAGACTTTCAAAATGAAGATTTGGTCTTTAGAAAAACAAGAATTAGGAAATGGAATATAACAAGTAATTTATTATCAACTTGTAATTCCCTCTTTAAATAATCCAAGTCCAGTATACATTCAAAGGCTGGATTTTAATCTGTATATTTTGGTGCTGTTTCATTGATTTATATTTTTTATTAATAGCATATAAAGAAATAATGTTCACAATAAAAAAACAAGTGATAGCAGAATATGCAATGTGAGGCCAAACACCTAAAGGCTCATTGAGCGTCTCTTTAAATACAATTATGTATTCAAAAAGGAATCTGAATACTTCTTCAATACAATTTTAAATTTGACTGCAAGATTTTTGTTTGTATTTGTATTTTATTCTGTAGTTCCTCGACCATCCCTTTCACCATGAGTGGAGACTGAGTCAAAAAAGAGGTGAGATGAAGACCTTTTCATGTTCATGTCAGATCCAGCTGTTTGACAGACTAACCGGGTTCATTCTGGAGCATCCAGACGTTTTGTTCAAAAGAGTATAGTTAGTTACATTTCTGAGAAATAAAACACCTGTCTTTTCTTTGATTCAAAGCATTTAGTCTTTGGTTATAAACCTCATGACATTTTGATTTGAATAACCCAAATGAAAAAGGTGAAACACAGTGCTGTGCTATCAGCGCCTCCTTCACTAAAAAACAACATGGTAATAAAAAGAGGAAGCCTGCCATAACTCCATTCATGGCAAGTGGCTGCTAGTTTCAACATCACAATCATATTTCAACATTGAAACTAGCTGAACAAACCTTATCGTGAAGGCAATGCCTTTGTTCTAGAGCAGTGTTAATGACTGCATTAGAAACAGGAATATTGAATACATATGTTTTTAAGGTTTTGATAAGTTTAAAAATCACAAACAACTAAGAAACATGTAATGTAACTTCTTCTTTAATCTCTCAGCCCCTCCAGAGTACTCCAAAGTGCTCCGATGGGTACACACACCCCCATTTGAGAAACACTAGTCCAGCTGACCTCCTTTGTCAAACATGTTTTGCTATGAGAGGACATTTGTAACACCATGTTTTAGTCAGTAAGCTCCTGAACCTTCCACCTGTCTGTCAACGCTCCATCTCTGCAGGGCTAAGGAGGAGAGAGAATATTATCCTGCATTAGAACCTGAGATCATGAAGAAGGAGTTAAAGGAAGAACAATTTGCTTTCAGACGGTAAGAGTCCATGTATATGAAGGTCAACAGAACCTTTTTTGATCTGATTGTCTTGAGAGTAAAACTATAATTTAACACTACTTTACTTTTCCTGCATTGTTGATTTATATCTATTTGCCTAGTCCTTATTTTTTATTTAAATGTAATGAGATTTTTCTTTAGATTATGGAAATATATAGAATAAAAAACAAACATGACACGAGTTAAACTCTGAACTTTAACAGGTGAAAGTACATATAGAGCAGGGGTGTCAAACTCAATTTCATCACGGGCCACATCAGCATTATGGTTGCACTCAAAGGGCCGGTTGTAACTTTAAGACTATATCATTAATTAATATAACTTCATAATTAACTACGTCTGAAAGCAGAAGTCTAGAGCAAATAATTGCAAGTCTCTTCAGTAAGAATGTCACAATATGATTTTAAAAGAAAAGCCACATTCTGGAAAAACATTGATTGTGACATTTTGAAAAGAGAGATGACATTTGAAAAAAAAAATCTATTTATGAGGAAAAAGGCTAATTCTAAGAAAAAAGGCATATTTGGACAAAAAAAAAGTCAAATTCTGAGAAAAAGTCAAATTTGAGATGCATTGTGGGACATGTCGTTTATGGGCAACGTGCTTCTGTAAAGTAGCATGTAACCGTATAATAAACATATTATATTCTTTGCAAGCTCTTGTGGGGCCACATGAAATGAAGTCGCGGGCCGGATTTGGCCCCCGGGCCTTGAGTTTGACACCCCTGATATAGAGTAAAGGTTGAATATATATACTAAGCTTCATCAAACACATGTATCTGGTTTCTATGTGTTATCAGTGGGCAGATTGGACATGCTGATGAAAGCAGAGTGAAGTCAACACACTGGGATAATAAATGAAGATTTGGTCTTTAAAAAAACAAGAATTAGGAAATGGAATATAACAAGTAATTTATTAATCAACTTGTAATTCCCTTTTTAAATAATCCAAGTCCAGTTTACATTCAAAAGCTGGATTTTAATCTGTATATTTTGGTGCTATTTCATTGATTTAGATTTTTATTAATAGCACATAAAGAGATAATGTTCACAATTAAAAACAATAGAGGAATATGCAATGTGAGGCCAAAGACCTAAAAGGCTGATTGAGGGTCTCTTTAAATACAATTATGTATTCAAAATCTGAATACTTCTTCAATATAATTTGAAATTGACTGCAAGATTTGTATTTGTATTTTATTCTGTAGTTTCTTGACCATGCCTTTCACCATGAGTGGAGTCAAGGAGAAGCTCCAGTACTTTAAGCGTCTGAGTGAGGAAGAAGAGTGTTGAGATGAAGACCTTTTCATGTTCAGATCCAGCTGTTTGACAGGCTAACCGGGTTCATTCTGGACATCCAAAAGTTTTGTTGAAAGAGATTAGTTATTATAATATTATTATTGTTATTGTATTATTTATTAGTAGAGAAAACACACTAGTTTCACCTGTTTCTTTGATTCAAAGCATTTAGTCTTTGGTTATAAACCTCATGACATTTTGATTTGAATAACCCAAATGAAAAAGGTGAAACACAGTGCTGTGCTATCAGCGTCTCCTTCACTAAAAAACAACATGGTAATAAAAAAAGGAAGACTGCCATAACTCCATTCATGGCAAAGTGCTGCTAGTTTCAACATCACATCAATATTCAACATTGAAACTAGCTGAACAAACCTTATCGTGAAGGCAATGCCTTTGTTCTAGAGCAGTGGTTCTCAAACCTTTTCATACCAAAGACCACTTAACCAATAAAAACACTCACGGACCACCTGACTCCACAAATATCCAAAAACAAAAGGCCTGCTTACCGCTCCAACAGAATATAACAAATAACAGCCTACTAATGACAGCTTCACTTCTCTATATCGCCTCGTTCACACATTAAATCAACAATACAAATACAACTACAGATTCTACAAGCATTTCCTATATGTGATTTAAAATGCTCAGGTTTTACACCTCCACGGAGCCCTGGAGGGTTCATAGAGAGAAAGAAAAAAAACGAGGAATTTTAATAGAAAATGGCCTCAATTTAAATAAAACGAGGCCACGCTTTATTAATTTGTGTGTGTGTGTGTGTGTGTGTGTGTGTGTGTGTGTGTGTGTGTGTGTGTGTGTGTGTGTGTGTTTGTGTGTGTGTGGTGTGTGTTGTGTGTGTGTGTGTTGTGTGTGTGTGTGTGGTGTGTGTGTGTGTGTGTGTGTGTGGTGTGTGTGTGTGTGTAAAAACGCAGCTCTCTGCGCAGATACTGTTAGCGTCACGAACATGAATTCATAGATGAAGGGCAGACTGGTTCACAGACTCTCCTGTTTTGCGAATCCGGTGCTTAACAAATAGCTCTACACCTCTGGCCGAAATGTCCCTAAATGAAGTCAGAGTTTGAAATATATCTCAAATAATGTATGCCATGCCATTCCCAACATAACAGTCTGCAATGAAACGGTTGTCTCCTGTGCGCTCCACTCCCTACTTGGCGCACCGGTAACTTTCTCGTGCGAACATCGGGCTGTGTTTCCATGAAGAGTGACGGCTACATGGATTTCCCTGTTTCTTTCAGACGGTAAGTTGCGGTTTCTGAACCTTTCCACCATTAATTTTCGTAAGCACTCAAAGCACTTCATTATGATGGAGG